TATACCTACTGATATGATTAATAAACTTTCCAAGTTTCCAAGAGAATAATCCATTTAAATTAAAACTTGAGAAGATGCAAGCAAAACAAATATTTACAGATAAGTGTGTGTTGAGGTTGTAACCTCTCAACCGTTCCATACTTTCTTTTGTAAAATTGGTTGTATTTGAGAAGTTTTATCTTTCAAATAGCTGAGCTAAATGTGAAATGTTTCACTATGACATTTTCAGGTGCGTGATATTGGTAGGTTCTTCACTACTGTACTTCTAACATCAAAGCATCACGGAGCTTTTGAACTGGCATATAATGGTTTTATCAAACTGTGCAGTGTATTGTGGACCTGTCGTGATAGCTCTTTACAAAGTTTACCTCTTCATTGGCTTGAAACACTGCTATCTGATATCAGAGGATGTGTCCCATCTAATGTGCTTTGTGGAACGCGACGCAGTGCCGGTACGTATCGCAATGTATACCCTGGGTACTATAGGCTGGATTTACTCTTCTTAAGGCCCGCTTACACTTGCGATTTTTGCAGCCGCGATAATCGTCACATTGCTATCGGCCAAATGAAATTGTATGTGTAAACAGCCCTGTGGTTGCTGCGTCAATTTTTAAGCATGTTCGAAACTCAGGCGATGGTCGTGCAACGATCGCCGCGAGAACCGTTCTGCAAAAATCGCAAGTGTTTTCGATCAGGTACTCGACGAGTGATGAGTTGTCGAATCAAATGTATTTTTTACGGGTCCCCCACGAAGAAGATGMCGTTAAAGATTCGGGAATCTGCCAAATGTGCAGCTACAGCCTCCCAACTTTTGAATTTATGGACAACAGCTGCATGTGTCTCACCTGAATTCGGAAGTTAAACAAACTCGAAAGCTCTTTTGGACAAAGATTTATCTAAATTGAAAGACTTTATCGTAGAATCTGTTGCGTTGAACGCTRATCACTCGTCGAGTATCTGATGGAAAACCGGTTTTACTTTTCAAACARTAATATCGCTCTGATATCAACGGACCAATGTGCTGCAACATTCATATCCTGAACATTGGCATGGAAGTGAGATCCGGTATCCGTGCCACTAAGAGGCTGGTTTACGGCCCTACGGCCCCAAGGACGGCACCGTAAATAAACTATAAGAAAGAGTAAATCTCTGGT